TGCTATCTTAAAAAGAATTGTCTATATCATCAGTTATAATAAAATTGAACAAAAGAGTAAAGAACAAAACCAATAAAACCAAAACATTGTGGAGACATTACAGGTCTTCAAAAGAAGATAATAGTCAACCAGAATGGACGTCATAATGAATCTTATTATTGTCACAGCTGTTGCCTATACTTTCAAACTTGGTACTATCAAGCAAAACAGAATAGAGGAAAATCAGTCAAAACAAGATGGTGAGAGCAATACAGGGTTTCAAATCAAGTTAATAAGAAATCAAAGTGGGTTACTATAATATATCCTGCTATTTTTTATTTATTTTCCCTTAATTAAAAAAATAAAAATAAAAAAGTAAATAATAAAAAAGGGAGATTGAGATAAAAGAGAACATAACAACCAAACAACACAGGTCAAAATATAACCATTTAAGCAAAATAGTGTTTCACCACCAGATATCCCGACAAAAAGTAGTTACCATAGTGTCTTTTTCCTTGAAATCTTTGAGTATAACTTCGAATACTGTAGCATCAAACATACCAAGACAATGTAAAACCATTCAAGAGAATGACAATATTACAGGGTATTTAGAATCAACTAACAGAAAATGAACAATGGTTTCTGTATAATCTCCTTGTCTATAAATTTTTTGTTTATATTATCACATATAATAAAATCCAGTAAGATACAACATGTTAAGACCAATTCGAGACAGAAGAACAAAAGCTTGGATGGGACTTCAAAACAAGATGATATTAAATCAGCACTACCTATTATGATGTCTTGTTTTCTCCAAAGTAGCTGTTCCTATCATCCAACCTTCTCTGCCTCATTTCTGTTGAGCTCTTTTTCTGTCAGTAGTTGTCAGTTTGTCTTCTTCATTTTGCTTTCTGCACTATTCATTGTGGCCTCTCTGCCACTATTTCTGGAATCTTAGTATTTTTGTTTTTTAGAATGTCCTGCGGTATTCTCTGTAGAGTTCAATTGGTGGTTGCAAATTCCCCTAGTTCCTCTTTAACCTGGAAGCACCTTGTTTTTCCATCAATTTCTAGGGACAGTTGTGCAGGATATATCAATCTTGGCTGGAGGTTACTATCTTTCAAAGCTTGAATTATTTCCCCCCACACTCTTCATGATTTGATGGTTTGTGCCGAGAAGTCTGCTGTAATTCTGATGGGTGTTCTCTTGTAAGTGATCTGTTTCTTGTCTCTGATGGCTTTTAATATTCTGTTCTTATATTGGATTTCTGGAATTTTGATTATTGTGCCTGGATGTAGTTCTGTTTGGGTTGTAGGTGGCTGGGGTCCTGAATGCCTCATACATCTGAGTATCTTTACCTTTTGCTAAATTAGGAAAATTCTCCTGGATTATTTCTGTGAATAGCCTTTGTAGTTCATTTGTTTGTGTACCTACTTCTTCTTTTACATTCTTAATTCTTAAGTTATAGATGCTCTTATCATCTTCTAGCCTTTGTATTATTGCTGTTTGTTTCCTTTAAGAAGTTTTTCATTTTATGCTCCCACATTACAATTCTGTCCTCCAGTTCAGATCATCTATCCTTAGTTTCTTTCAAGCTGTTATGCCAGTTTTCAATAGAGTTTTTAGTTTCCTGATAATCTCTTTGAGCCTGCTTCACGTATTCTATGTTTTCTCTATTTTCTCCATCAAACAATTGTCTCCTTTTTTCTGTTCTTCCATTCCACCATCTGTTTTTTCTTGGGCAGTGCTTAGCATTTCTCTAACTGTTCTACTTATATCTTGCTTTACTTCATTAAATACTTCACTTTTGAACTCGTCTATGAGGCTCCGGAGATACCGCTTGATGTCTATAGGTGCCGTGTCTGATATTGCATGTTTTCTGTCCTCGTTCTCCTTTGCATTTACCTTTCCTGGATCAGTTCTCAGGATTGGGGGCTGAGGACCCTTTCTTATTGCTGCTGCCTCTTCTCATATTTTTTGTTCCTTCCATACAGGTGTATATAGGAGGCCCAGTTTCTTCCTTGTTGGTTACAGTTAGTTTGAATGGCACTGGCTAGTGTTCCCATCTACTGCAGTATACTAGGGAGACACAGACCTGGGCAGCCTCTGCTGGGCCTGCCCCTCCAGGTCAATCTACTGAAGGTTTCATTGCTAGCGTGCACTGCCAGGCGCTGGGACCTGGTTTGGGCTAGCCTACTGGGTCTTAGTCCGCGGCGTCATACAGGCCAAATGCTCCCCATCAACCTGCTTGAGAGGGGAATATGTGACTAAAGTCACTGCAGCATCCTGTTCTGGCTAGTCTGCCCGGTCCCAGAATGTCCAGGAGCCTCCTAGTCTATGGAAGGGTCCCCGTTCCTCTCACTCACTGCAGGTTGATGCAGGGCTCCCTGCCAGTCCTGCTCTCAACTCCTTTTGCTGATTCCCACTCTCAGAGCTTTTGCATCTCTATCCTTGCTGTGCCAATTCAGATGTAGCAGCAGCAGCAGGAAATTCAAATCGCAGCTTCCAGAAGTGCAGGTTCCAGCTTCGGTGCTGAGATTTTATCTGTTCCAGTTATAGCACCGGGATTGCATTTCCAGTTGGTTTCTCTCAGCTTAGTTCGTTCCTGGGTCGGCAGGGTATATCTCCCCTTGCTGAGGACTCCTCACACCACACCATTCCTGGATTCTAAGCTGGCTATCTCAGAGAGCCTCCATAGCTGCTGTTATCTGTCCACCATGTTCTCCCAGAAGTCTTTTATTTCTTTTTTAATTTCATTGCCACATGTTGAGTTATATTGTAGTTAGAATTTTTTATACCTTCTTGATTCATCTTTAGTAATTTGCATGTATCTAGGAATTTTTCCATTTCTTCTTAATTATCTATTTTGTTAGAATACTGCTTCTCAAAGTAGATATTGAGGATCTTCTGGATGTCTGGAGGATTTTTTGTGATTTTACCTTTTTCATTGTTAACAGCATGGATTTGAGTGTTTTCTTTTTAAAATAAAGTTGGCTAAGGGTTTGTCTGTTTTATTTAAGCTTTCAAAAAACTATCTCTGATTCATTCATTCTTTGTACTGTCTTGTTAGTCTGAATTGCATTAGTTTCTGCTCTCTTTACATTTTTCCTCACATGAACTTTGAGTTTAACTTGCTCTTCTCTTTTAGGACCTTGAGGTTAAAATTAGGTTATTCATTTCAGCTCACTCCGTTTTTCAATGTAGGAATTCACTACTATAATTGTCACTCATGAGACTGCTTTCATCGCATCCCATAAGGTCCAGTATGTCATATTGGCATTATTCTTTCGTTATAGAAATTGTCTAATTTCTTTAATTTTATCTGTGACCCCCTGGGTGTTCAGGGGGGTATTATTTAATTTCCATGTGTTTATGTCATTTTTGGGGTCCACTTTTATCAGGGCCCTGGCTTAAGACCACTGATATGCTCAGGGGTGGGATGACAGAATAAAACACAGTCATTATATATATTATATTAATTGCAACATAATGGTATTAGTTATATATATTAATTACAAAGGCACTAGGATGGTCACAGCCCAATAAGAACTAAGACCATGAGGCTCAGCGTCCTTGGTCTTTATTAGGTAAACTTGATTCAGGGGTGTGCTGGGCTGCAGAGAGTGGTGGAAGTGAACTGCTTAGGCAATCAAGGTTCAAGAATTGAGGAACAATGCATTTTTGGAAAAGCACAGAGGAACGGGTCATGGTTAATCAGTGACCTGATTGTCTGCCAACTACTGAGCTAGAAGCAATTTGTGAGAGTTGAAGTCCTCAGCTGCCATTCTGCCTTGCTTCAGTCACCAGAACTTCACAGACCATTTTCCAGTCTTCAGTCTGGCCATCGATTTAAAGATTGACCTGCCTATAAGCCAGCCACAAGTCTCACCACAACTCACGTAGGACTAGGACAGACTCTTAATTTATTCTTGTGCCAGTTTATTAATATCAATTACTGCCTGTTCTGCACTGCATTAGGCTGGTCCTCAGAACCTTTTTCCATTCATTTCCAATTTCATTGGGCTATGATCTGATTATACACATGGGATAATTTCTATTCTTTTGTATTTATTTTAGTGTGTTTTGTGGGTTGGTATGTAGTGTTTTGGTGCATGTGCTGCTAGAAAAACATGTATTCTACTGTTATTAGGTAGAACACTCTGTAGATATCTACTAAGTCCATTTGTTCAAAGCTTTGGTTCAGCTCTAATAGTTCTCTGTTCATTTTTTTGTCTAGTTGATCTGTGTGTGACAGTGGGTTATGGAGGTCCCCATTACCATGGCATCCATGTCTAGAATTAGGGCTGTGATGCTCTGGGCCTGTCACACGTGTATGCAGTTTTGGGGAGCAGGGGCCTTAGGACTTTTTCTAGTTCATGTGTAGAATTAGAAGATCTTCTTCTTCAGCTCCCACCTTTCTATGATTCCTCTTGACTCTCTGACTTCCAGAGCCCATTTTCCAGGTTCTCTGACCACAGAGACAGGGATTTTTCTGAATTGAAGTGGCCTGATGTACTGTCTTATCAATGCATCACTAGAGTTGCCTTCCAGAAAAGGAAGTGTAAACCAAGTAATGGAAATGCTGTGTGCTTACATCTGGGGAAACCAAGGATTCCCTCCCGTGGTCTTCAGCTCACAGGGACCTTTCCTAACCCTCTGGCCACAAGGACAGGTATTATCTGAGAGTGCAATCTGTTTCTCAGTCTGTGACTGGGGCCACACTGGGCTCAAAAATTTTAAAGTTAAAACCTAATGGGAAATTCTCCCCTGTCCAGATTGCTTCTTCAAGTTGTGTCTCCTTCCCCTAATCTGCTTGATGCTGTTGACAGAGTTCTTGGGTGGTGGCATTTTATATTTGACTGTGTTTTGTTTATAATTGTGGGAAAGTTGGCTATAGAGGCTGACTTCACCTCGGCCACCTGAAAGTACATTTGATCTTTACTGTATTTTGTAATCCTGTACTGGAAACAAACACTTCCTGGGACTCAAGTTAGAGGGCAGCGCTCAGAGAGAGGTAGCGAGAGAGAAAGACTGAGAGACTGAGATGCCAGAGACCCGAGACACTGTTGCTCTTGCTGACTTGGGTGACTGACTCGAGCTTTTTCTTTGCAGATTTCTATGGGACTATTTCTAGCCCTAATTTGGGAGTACATGAAATGAAGATTGGCCCCATCCTCTTCCAGGTGGCCTCTGGGGATATCACTAAAGAAACTGCAGATGTGATTGTAAATTCAACATCCAGCAAATTTAATCTTAAAGCAGGTACTTCACTTGTATGATTTTGATTAGTTAATAATTAACATGATAGACCCTGCAAAAGAGTGTGTCTATAGCCAAACTGGTTTGGGTCAAATTGTCCCATTAATATTAACTAAAAATGTTAACATGATTTGTACAGTGTTTCTTATAATTGCCAACAGTTACCGTATGAATGCTGCTTGTTTGTTATTAGCAGTACTCAGGCTGTAGGATTCCTTCAGTGCTGGACATGGGTTTAGATAATGAGGAAGTCTATTGACCCAAATGCACTGTAGTAACGTTTTTAAAGTCATGTTTGTTACCATCGGTATTTTCTCATCCAGGGGTCTCCAGAGCAATTTTAGAATGTGCAGGACAAGCAGTGGAATGGGAATGTGCTGTCCTAGGTAAGACCCAATACTATGTTGATAGTAAAAACGATAAGTAGAAATTAGAATTGGGAAGTTGTGAAGAAACTGAGGACAGTCCTGGGGTTGGGAAGGCAAACACATTAATCTTATAATCACACATTTTATGAGCGAATTTCCAGTTGTAGAGAATTAGAAGTGGAAAGTAATCTCACAATTAAAAGAGAAATTAAATTAAAAGAGAACAATTTCACCAAAGATAAAATTTCAGAAATTTCTTATTTACAAAATGCTTCCCTGACAAATCAAGCAGTCTGCTTTCTAAACAAAGAGTACATTAAGCAGTCAATGTTGTGTCTTTTTGTCTGTGTTTTCCAGGTCGACAGGGCAAACAAGAGTACATAGTTACTAAAGGTGGATTACTGATGTGCAAGAACATTATTCATGTTGTTGGTGAAAATAATGTCAAGAAATCAGTTTCCTGCGTTCTGCAAGAATCTGAGAAACGGAATTACTCCTCCATTTGCCTCCCAGCCATTGGGACAGGTTTGTAGCCTCTTTGGAAGTCAAGGCCAAATGTGAAGGCGTTGATTCGGTGCTTAATGAGGGTGTCACCGAATCTGAGTGAGGGTCCTTGGTTTATCTGAGTGGACAGCTTTTTCATTCTTAAGATAGTGAGTGAAGCTTGTGGGTGGTTTAAATAAAGGGAGAAAAAGTGAACTAGGTGTGGGTGTGTGCCTGTGGTCCCAGCTACTGGAGAGGCTGAAGCAGGAGGTACTTTGAGCCCAGGTGTTCTAGGCTATCCTGGGTCACTTAGCAAGACTTCGTAAAAAGGAGGAGGAGGAAGAGGAAAGTGAGTGGGTTGTTAGGGAGGGGAACGAAAGCAAGGGAGGGCAACAGAAGGAAGGGAGGGGTATGCAAGACTCCCCTCACACGCTTCATCTGCTTTTCTCTTCCCTGTACAACTTCCATCACTTAACCCTCCACCTCCTCCTCTGTCCTCCATGAAGAGCATCATGGCAACCCCAGCTCTACATCACCTGCATTGTAGAGGCCTCTCAGTCACTCAAACCTGGCACGTCAGAACTTCCTGTTTTGGGCTGCTTGCTGCTTTTGAGTTTGTTTTCCTCAAACTATGTGACGACTGGGTTGTGTGCTTCCTCATCTGTCAGTGTAGTGTTCAGGTAAACGTCAGTCAGCAGGTGCTCTCGATGCTGTCTCCCCAGGAACCAGGGCTGTGTGTGCGAGGAGGGAGCTAAGCAGGCCGGGAGGACAGTGGGTCCGAGTGGCCCTGCGAGGGAGGACTCAGCGCGGGAGCTGGCGTTCCCTTGCTCAGAAGCCTCAGCTTGAGTTCGTGGACCAGCACCCCAGGCCTTGGAAAGTTCAGTCTTAGTAAACGTAGCCGTCCTTGTCACTTTCTGGGCCTTCTCATCCTCTCACTCATATTTTGCACCCTGTAATTCTTAATGCTCCTGGAAGGAATGGTGTATCCACTTACTGCTCAGTTTCCAGAAGTATAATCTATTTATTTATTTAGGTGCTGGGGATTGCAGTCACAACCTCGAGCTTCCCAGGCAGGCGTCTATGCCGCTGAGCTAAACCCCTGGCCCACCAAAAGTATAATTAATGATCCTTTCATGTTTTATTCCCCTCCTGGTATCATCCATTCCTAGCAATCAGCCTTTGTCTAGGTTTCTGGCCACCTGCTTATCTAGACTGATGGCCACCCAGGCTCTGTCCCCACCTGTCTGGGCTGTTGGTCCTGTTCCTAGTCTTAAATTACTCTGAGTCCAGGAAACAGCATGCCTGGGGTGGCACAGATCTTTCTAAGGTAGTCTTGGGTGGAGTCAAAATGCAAAAGACAGAAAGGAAGTGGCTTTCACTTTGGCAGGTGCTCTGCCACCCCTCAGCCCACCTTCCAGCATTTCTGGGGTGCTGCCTGCCCGTGGCCGCTCCTGTGGACCTGGCCGCATCGCTGGCCTGCACAGGCAAGGCAGGGTTGGTGGGTTTTCCTTGCTTGTCCTTTCGGCCATCGTGGTCACCGCTTCAGCTGGCCTTTAAAGCCACAGGTGGAGGTGCTCACCCGAGTGGTGTTTACGAGCCCAATTAGGACTCTGATGAAGACAGCCCGTGGGAGTAGAGGCAGCGCCTTGTCCTGTAAAGACCCCGCATAAGGTGGGAGGAATGGGGGGTCGACAACAGCTGCAGGCGGCTTAAACCCAATGCAGACCCCAACGTCTCACTGTTCTCCCCTGGAAATCCAATCCTTCTTCGTATGTCCCCAGTCGTGTGAAAACCATCACTTTTCTCTGGCATCCTTGACTCCACCCTCTTTATTAACCCTACATTCACTAGCTCATTAACTCATTACCTCAATATGAGAGTCAATATTTTTGCACTTAGGCCCAGAGATGGAAAGATAAGGAAAATGTCCAGAGCACAAGGCACATCACTAGGTGCTCCCGACTTTTCTCCCTAAAGGCCTCCTCAGTTCCTGCACCAGGCTCTTCATTCCAGCCGCCTCTCTCTCTCCTAACTACAGACATATTCTCCGCTTGTGTGTCCTCCAATGTGGCCCTCCAGATTTATCTTTGCCCACTTGATCCTAGACAGAAGACTGAGGAGCAATCAGATTCATGTTTCTCAGAAACCAGTTGGCCCCGTCCGTGACTGTCTGAATATGTGCTTCTGTGACACAAAGTCCTCTCTGCAGAGCCCCACCTCCAGTTCCCTGTACTTTACCTGTTGACACCTGTCCCTCCTGCCTACCGCTGTGTGCTGGCTGAGTGGCCCGTGTGGTGGGGAATGGCAGATGTTTATAGAGAGCACACCAGTGATCCGATACTTCCATTTAAAGGCTTCCAAATATCATGGGACAATCACACTTTGTAAATGAGAATTTCGCTCTCTGTTCATCAGTTTAAAAAACAAAAAACCCGAAGAAACCCTCTTGGCTAATTCTGTATGGGGTTTGCTGCATCCCCACACTTGTGCAGATGGCCAGGTTGCTCTCTTGACTGCAGTACTGGGATAACCTGAATGGGCTTTTTTTTTTTTCAAATCCATTGTGTTTCAAAGAGAAAAAAATTTTTTTTCAAAACACAACAATTGGAACAACTGCACATAGATTGCACATTATGCTTCCCAAATCAGTCACCCAGGGTACGAGACAATAAACTCAGAGAAATTAGTAGTATAACTGTCTTAACTATATTTTATATAGATAAGCACATACATTGTTCTGAATGGGCTCTTAATCTAATGTATCAGCTTGGCCGGGAAGCTTTTGTGTCATATACCATGTGACTGTGCCAACTGCCATTCATGTGGGACCACCTCCTTGGCTGGAAAGGTACCTTTCATGAACTTGCCAGGGCAGTGGCTTTCATAGCATGAGAAACAAGATGGCATGTGCAGGAGACACAAGAGCATCTGCTCCGTGGCAACCTCAAGACCTGATGATCAGCTAAAATCTCAAGTGTAACTTGCATCCAAAGGATCAGAGATGGTAACAATTAGCTTACCACTCTGTATGTCTAACAATGTTGTTTGAGTTTAAATCCGGTCCCCAGAGTTACTTGGGAAAATAATGATACATAAAATCACACAATGACATAAGAAAAACATGCTTTTCTCTCCTGGGATCTGTGTTAGCACGTATTAGCATCTTTTGCCTCTTATGGCTCTTTTGAGGACACTGGTGACCTAGGAAGACAAGTTACCAGCATCCTGTAACTAAAGAAAGGAAACAGTGATATGGAATCAGATCAACAGGCAAACGTCAGAGAAGGTCAGAGACCAGAAGTCAGGATTCAGGGCCCTTGTTCCTTGCTGGGCGGTTGGCTTCCTGACATCCTGGAACAAAACTCCTCACCGCACCTAGGACGTCAAAGCTCTCTGCTTTTGCTTACATCACTAGAAAAATTTACATGGATGAAAGAGCTGGGATGCTGGCATTTGTTTTTCAAGAACTGGAATTCCTAATTTGCTTTTGGGATTTCCAGTTGGGTTTTGTCCTCCAGTCATTTTTCTTATTTAATTTTCCAGGAAATGCTGGACAAGACCATAATAAGGTTGCCGAAGCTATACTTGATGCCATTGAAGACTTTGTCCAGAAAGGATCAGTTCAGCATGTGAAGAAGGTTAAAGTTGTTATCTTTCAGCCCCAGCTACTAAATGTGTTTTATGCCAACATGAAAAACAGAGAAGGGTCTCAGGCTTCTCAGCAACCATCGATGTTATCTAAATTTTTCTGTGAGTTCTTTGTTTTTATGAAATACCTTTTTAAATATTGAGTTTATATAGGAAACAGCTAATTTTCTTTTTTCTCTTTAGCCCGCTTAGGCTTTTCAAAACCTCACCCACAAGAGAAACCTTTGATTTTGGAAAAGAAAACAGAATTGGTGGTCTTCCAGGTGTGTGGTGACAGCCAACGCTGCGTGGACCAAGCTGTCCAGTGGTTAAAGGACCTGATCACAAAGGAGCAGTATTCTTTCACTAACACAGATGAGTGTCTCAGAGATTTTGAGGAAAAGGAGTGTAACGAATTGACTGAGCTGCAGAAGAGATTAAATATTATCATTGCTCTGGACCAGAAGAGACCTTTCATGGAGGTTTCGGGAATTAGTAGAGATGTGATGGAGGCTAGAGATAAAATTGAGGAGATGATTAAGAAGGCAAGATTGGCCAGAGAAGAAGCAAAGAGGGCAGACTGTGTTAGTGAATTTATAGAATGGCAATACGATGACAATAACACTCCTCATCCTTTTGACAAAATAACCAATCTGCAATTGGAAGATGCAAGGAATAGAAAGAACAAGAGCATCGATATCAAAATTAACAATCAGTGCTACACGGTGGACCTGGAGACCTGCATTGCCACAAGTCAAGGTGGACACAGTTTCACTGTTAAGCGCCTCACAAAATTCGAAGGTGAGTGAAATTTTCATGCTTGTCATTTGATTATTTCACAGCTACTTTGGACTTAACAACTCTTGTGCATACATCAAATTTTCAGGTAGATAAAACTCAAGGAATCTTAATAAGACATACTAGAACATTCAGGTCTCTGAGTTCAAGAACCTGCAGTATGGCCAGGAAAACAGCGTGGATGTACTCAGCATCCCAAGGGTCCTGATGACAATAACCAAGCCTTGCATTTGTTCCCATTGTAAGCTTTCCAGAGCCGGTTCTGTTCGGGAGTAATAGCTCCTCCGGCCAGAGGAGGGAAAACTGTAGCCTTAGAAGAAAGTGGCTCAAGGTTGTTTTTTATTTTAAACAAAAGGACAAATGGACAAAGCAGAGAAGTCAGGCTGTGGCCAGTGACCTCTGTGTATGGGTGACTGATGACCCAGAGAGGGTCCAAATTGTCCTTCCAGGAGTCACACTGCTGCTGCCAAGTTGCTTTGCACAACATCAGGGAGGAGCCTGAGATTCCATGATTGCATCTGCTCCCCAAGAAGGCAAAGCTTACCTTGTGTAGGCTGCCATTCCTCCAGCAAACCACATAAGCCTCCTACTGGAAATCAGTGACTTGGTTTCCAACACACTGTTTTCATCTCTGGTGAAAGCAGTGGGAACAAACTTCTCAGGTTTTGAGGAAATCACATTGTCTATAGTATTCTGCTTACCAAGGAAGGAGATAGAGCTGCCACCTTAATGTGTCACATAATAAAACCTACATAAAACCTCCTATGTCTCAACGAGGTTGTGAAGATAAATGATAAATGATGGTAATAAATGATGGTGGTAACGAGGCAGTCTGGCAAAAACCCATGCATAAGCATAACAGCAGCTACTATTTAAAACATGGCATGGAAATAACGTTTTGTTACATTACGGGAGTGGGGGTTGAACAGAAAATCTAGATGAGGTGTACTGTGCCATGGTAGTGGGATCCAGATTTAAGGTACAGATACCCAGGCCCCAGCCCGCTGAGACTCAGATTCAATATGTCTGTGACATTGTCTTTTTCTTTTTTGGTTCTGGGCACCAAACCTGGGGCCTTGTGCTTGCCCAACAAACACTCCACCACCAAGCTCTGCCACCAGAACCTCCTTCTGAAAATCTAACATTCCAGCTGATTCTGATATGGGTGTGCTGTGGTCCACTCTTTGGAATACATTCTGCTAGAAAGATAAGGAACTTGCTGAGCATAGAGAATCAGGAGATTATAACACAACACAGACGAGACTCAGCTTTTCAGTTTGGAAATACACAGGGGAGTCCTCTCATGTCTGCTTTGCAGTTACCCTTCCTGCGTACTGGAGTGACATGAATCAGCAGAATCTCTGTGTGGTCCTGCTGCAGCCTTGGGACCAGGAATTCATCACTGTGGCAGGAAAGTTTAAACAGACTTGCCCAAATTTTGTCATTGAGAAGGTAAGTCCCATGTGAACAATGGACTTTCTTGATGGTGGAAATAAGTAATATCATAGTCCTGTATAAATATCTTTCAGATGCTGCCTATAAATTTTTTATATAGAATTAGATATTTGTAGTAATTAGATTGTAGGTTCTATATCATCACTATAACTGCTGAGACATTAAGATTTTTTTTTTTTTTTTTGGTCTTTTTCCTTTTTACCGGTACCAGGGATCGAACTCACGACTGCCTGCTTTCAAGGCAGGCGCTTATGCCGCTGAGCTAAACCCCCAGCCCGACATTAAGATTTTTGTGTCCTTTATACAATATGATCTTCAATGGCAGTGTGTTTAGAATAATAAAGATATGCCTTATTTACTTTGTAAAGCAAGCCAACAAAAACTCAAGGCCATGAGTTCCCAGTTGGGTTTGATAATTAGTAAGCACAACAAAGAGACACCTAGAGGCTCCTAATCTGGATTCTATTCTTCTGTCTCCTATTCGCAGGCCTGTGTGCTTGTTACCTGCATAAATTTAATAGCTCTTTCCTTATTTATCTCAATTATTTTCACATCTTCCATTTTATGTTATTAATATTGCCTTTTAGAATTATGTTCTTCTCTGACTTCTATGTCATTCGTTTTCCTTTTATCTGATTTTCTTTTCATTATCACTGGCAGCTGTTAAATATGTATTACATATTATGCAGCATGAAGACCTACACAGTTGTACATTTGTCCTTGAGTTTCCTAGTACACAAAGCAAAGAAGGAAACACCTAGCATACAATCATAATGTCCATAATAGGAAAAAGCAAAGCTTTGATAGGAAAACTCAGTTCTTTACAACACTGAGATTGATCCTCAAGACAGTTCTTGTGTGGACCAAGTACTGAAGAATAACTTTAACACCATCTTTACAAATACATTCAGTATGAAATTTATATCACTTTTTAAAAACATCCCTTAATTTAAAAGCGTTGAGCAAAACTCATGCCTGATTGAATGGAAACAATTCTACAAGGCATCAAAACAGAGGGATTCAAAGATGTGCCTCTTAGATGGCCCAATTGTGATAACAAAAAGTGCCATTCCAAATGCCAATTGCGGTGCACTGGTAGGAGCTGACTAGCTCACTGTGATAAAATGCCAATTCAGACAATTCAGACGGAGTAAGGATCAATGTCCCAGGGGACTGGCAGTGTCTAGGGTTGGTCCCAGAGGGCTTCCCATGTATCAGCAGACCTTGGCCACAGAAATTGTTTCAGCATAGTATTGTAAAAGAACCCTGTTTTCAAATAAATTTCCGAGTGAAATTTCAGCTTTAGGCAGCTCTAGAGGTCCCTGGTAGTGTGCAAATCCCAACATGAAATATGACTGATCTGTCGCCCTCTGGCACTGTTTGTCTTTTTTTTTTTGGTACGGGGGTCGAACTCATGACCTTGCGTTTGCCAAGCAGGCACCTATGCCACTGAGCTAAACCTCCAGCAGCACTATTATGTCTTATGGTGAAAATTCTTTTTTTTTTGTCTTTTTTTGAGATGGGGTCTCACTATGCAGTTCAGGCTGGCCTTGAGTTCACTTTGTAGCCCAGGCTGGTCTCAAACTCATAAGGATCCTCCCACCTCAGCCTCCTGAGTGCTGATGATAAAAATTCTTAACATCTCTAATCCTTCCACTCATATTCAACAATTTTGCATATTATCTTTTTCTTCCATTTTTACTGAAGCTTTGAAAGTTGCAGATCTCATGACACTCCTACTTTTATATTTCCTAAGTATGAAGATATTCTTCTTTTTTTTTAGAAACCAAAACATTGGAGACATTAGAGGACTTCAAAAGAAGATAATAGTCAACGAGAATGGGCATCACAATGAATTTTATTGTCTTCATAGTTGTTGCCTATACTTTGAAACTTGGTACTATCTAGCATAACAGAATAGAGGAAAATCAGTCAAAACAAAATAGTGAGAGCAATACAGAGTTTCAAATCAAGTTAATAGGAAATCAAAGTGGGTTACTATAATATATCCTGCTATTTTTAATTTATTTTTTCCTTAATTAAAAGGATAAAAATGAAAAAGTAGATAATAAAAAGGAGATTGAGATAAAAAAGAGGGCATAACAACAAAACAGTGCAGGTCAAAACATAGCCATTTAAGCAAAAATAGTGTTTCACCACAAGATAATCTTGACATAATAGTAGTTACCATAGTGTCTCTTCCCTTAAAATCTTTGGGTATAACTTCGAATACTGTAGCATCAAACATATCAAGATAATGTAAAACCATTCAAGAGAATGACAGTATTACAGGGTATTTAGAATCAACTAACAGAAAATGAACAATGGTTTCTGTATAATCTCTTTGTCTATAAAAGTTTTTGTTTATATTATCACATATAATAAAATCCAGTAAGATACAACACATTAAAACCGATGGAGACAGAAGAACAAAAGCTTGATGGGACTTCAAAACAAGAGGATATTAAATCAGCGCTACCTATTATGATGTCTTGTTTTCTCCAAAATAGCTGTTCCTACCATCCAACCTTCTCTGCCTCATTTCTGTTGAGCTCTTTTTCTGTCATTAGTTGTCAGTTTGTCTTCTTCATTTCGCTTTCTGCTCCATTCATTGTGGCCTCTCTGCCACTGTTTCTGGTATCTTGGTATTTTTCATTTTTAGAATATCCTGAAGTATTCTCTGTAGAGTTGAATTGGTGGTTGCAAATTCCCCTAGTTCCTCTTTATCCTGGAAACACCTTGTTTTTCCATCAATTTCTAGGGACAGTTGTGCAGGATATATCAATCTTGGCTGGAGGTTATTATCTTTCAAAGCTTGAATTATTTCCCCCCACACTCTTCATGATTTGATGGTTTGTGCTGAGAAGTCTGCTGTAATTCTGATGGGTGTTCCCTTGTAAGTGATCTGTTTCTTGTCTCTGATGGCTTTTAATATTCTGTTCTTATATTGGATTTCTGGAATTTTGATTATTATATGCCTGGGTGTAGCTCTGTTTGGGTTGTAAGGTGGCTGGAGTCCTGTATGCCTCATACATCTGAGCATCTTTACCTTTTGCTAAATTAGGGAAATTCTCCTGGATTATTTATGTGAATAGCTTTTGTAGTTCATTTGTTTGAATACACACTTCTTCTTTTATGTTCTTAATTCTTAAGTTATAGATCCTCTTATCATCTTCTAGTCTTTGTATTATTGCTGTTTGTTTTCTTGTTATTTTTAAGAAGTTTTTCATTTCATGCTCCCACCTTACAAATCTGTCCTCCAGTTCTGATAATCCATCCTTAGTTTCTTTCAAGCTGTTATGCCAGCTTTCAATAGAGTTTTTAGTTTCCTGGTAATCTCTGTGAACCTGCTTCACGTATTCTATGTTTTCTCTATTTTCTCCATCAAACAATTCTCCCCTTTTTTTCTGTTCTTCCATTGCACCATCTGTTTTTTCTTGGGCGGTGCCTAGCATTTCTCTAACTATTCTACTTATTTATTGCTTTATTTCATTAATACTTCATTTTTGAACTCATCTATGAGGCTCCAGAAATACTGCTTTATGTCTATAGGTGCCGTGTCTGATATTGCACGTTTTCTGTCTTCATTCTCTTTTGCATTACCTTTCCTGGATCAGTGTTCTCAGGATTGGGGCCTGAGGACCCTTTCTTGTTGCTCCTCTTTCCCATTCTTTTTGTTCCTTCCATACAAGTGTATGTAGGAGGCCCAGTTTTTTTTTTTTTTTTCTCTTTGTCTGTTATAGTTTGTTTGAATCTGCTGGCTAGGTGTTCCCACCTACTGCAGTGTACTAGGGAGACACAGACCTGGGCAGCCTCTGCTGGGCCGCCCCTCCAGGTCAACCTACTGAATGTTTCACTGCTACGGTGCACCGCCAGGCGCAGGGACCTGATTTGGTCTAGCCTACTGGATCTTAGTTTGCGGTGTCACCAGGCCAAGCGCTCCCCACCACTCCCGCTTGAGAGGGGAATATGTGACTATAGTCACTGCAGGGCCCTGTTCCGGCTAGTCTGCTCATTCTCAGAATGTCGTCTGTTGGAGCCTCCTAGTCTGTGAAAGGGTCCCCATTTCTCTCACTCACCACAGGTCGATGAAGGGCTCCCTGCCAGTCCCGCTGTCAACGCCGTTTGGTTCGCTGATTCCAGCTCTCAGAACTTTCGCGGGTCTCTCTGCCTGCCATGCAGATTGGGACGCAGTATCAGCAGCAGGAAATTCAAATCGCGGCTTCCAATGGCGCGGGATCCAGCTTTCGCACTGAGATTTTATCTGTTCCTGTTATAGCATCAGGATTGCATTTCCAGTTGGTTTCTCTCAGCTTACTTCGTTCCTGGGTCGGCAGGGTACTTCTCCCCTCACATGTAGGACTCCTCACATGGCACCACTCCTGGATTCTAAACTGGTAATCTCAGAGAGCCTCCGTGGCTGCTGTTATTTGTCCGCCATGTTCTCCTGGAAGTCTATTCTTCTAAATTATAGAAATACCATTATACCATACAAAAAGCACATTTAACAAGTATCATTGAATATAAACAAAATTTCTCTAGTGGCTCAAAAAAATCTTATGCCTGCCCCATCTAGATTAACATGTTATATTTGATTATTATGTATTTTTCCTCTCTTCTAATAACAAAATAGCACTCTTACATTTTTAAAAGTAATTTTTCATGAGATTGAATTTTAAAAAGCCTAAGTCATTTCTACTGTAGAATGTCCCACATGTGGATCTTTTGTGCTTTGATATTTTGGGAAGATTCAAGCAAATTTTTAAAAATGAAAGTCTAGTCTTGTCTGACTTCATTTATTTCTTTATCCTCTTATTTCTAATAAACTGGGAGTTAGTTTTAAAGGCATCAGTAAGTTCAGGTTAAAATAATTCTTTTTTTGCAGAATCTCATAAGTGATCAGGACACCCTGTGGTAAGGTTGTCCCACTGTTCATGAGGGTGTTATCCAAACTTTTCCCCACTGATTTTAACATCCTTGGATGATTCTTGTCTAAATCCATCATTCCACTGGAGGTTGCAAGGAGACTTTCTAATTCCTTCATGAATTTTCTAATTCATTTCTTCTATGCTTGTTATTTGGCAATTTTTCAGAGAATAAATTTTCTTGCCCCTGCTGTTTAGAAAATTCAGTATGTTGAATTTAATTACAGCATTATTTTATTAGACGTTCAAACTATCCTACAAATGGTGAGCAGCAAGTTGGCTCCCATCTCTTTTGGTGAGTCCATTACTCCTGCAGCATTTGTCTGCTTCCCAGTATGAGGTCTGTCATGCTCACCCTGTGCTTGACCGGCCCCAGGCTGGGACTCTTCGCGGAGAGGACGGGCAGTAAGAAACCGAGAGCTGTGGGCTGAGCGTGCTCACCACTGCTGAGGGGCTGCTTCCAGATAACGCTGAGAAACCCATGAGCTCACTTTCCAGTCAATTGTAATATTATAGAATTCTTCTTAATCTCTTATATTTTGTTTTGTGTTTATCCTGTAAAACAGCAAGTTTGGTTACTAGAACAGTAATTTATTTGTTTTGTAATAGGATACATAAAATTGTTTTAAGATTATACCAAAATTAGTAGTAGTAATTTTAAAATAGCTACATGAGTTTTCTTTAATTGTTATAGTTACAACACTATATTTTAAAATTAGTTTTCTTTTAACCTTTTTATGACTATAATATTTAAGATGTTTTTCTTAGTAGCAACATCTGCTTGAGTTTTTATTTTCATCTCTTACCTAGAGTATTTAATCTGTTGACTGTATTTACTATGTTTACTGGTATATTTGGGTTAAAATATTCCACATTAATCTTTGTTTTCTATTTATCACACCTATTCTTTGCTCTTTTTTCTCTTTTCCTGCCCTCATATGAATCAAGCATTTCTATTATTCTGTTTTTCTCCCCATGAGACTGTTAGTTGTGTATTCTGTTCTAATTATTTTATTTTGTTTTGGCACTAGAAGTTAGGTGTGTCACTGACTTACTAAACTCTTATTGAATCCTTATGCTCATCATCTCCTACACAATGCAGTGATCTCTGAACTCTTTAAGATGCCTTTATCCCCTTCCTAAATTTCCTGCTACTTTTAACAGCTGCCAAAATCTTTACCTTCCCTCTCACTGTTCGGTAACATTTGCTGTCTCTGTGCTTCCGCCGGGGTGATTCTGCCTGGATGTAGTTCTTCTCCGACAGATTGTATAGTAGTGAATTCTCAATTTTTGTTTTTCTGAAAATGTCCTTATTTCACCTTCATTTTGAAGGATTTTTTTATTAACAATAGAATTCTGGACTGGTGGTTGTTTCCTGTAGGCATCCTGAAGAAGCTATTCCACTGTCCTCTGACTTTATTATTTTGTTTGTATTTCCTTTCCTTCTGAATCTTGGCTTATCAAATTCTTGTCTTCAGCTAGACTTTTTTTAAAAAGCCTCCGTTACCTCATCTAGTAGTTGTTGGTGAATAATAAACCTACTAAACAAAGTTTAAGATTCAATTTATTTGCAATATTTTTTGATCTTAGAATTTATTCCACTGGGAATATTGACTCAGATTACTGTGTTCAACATTATTTGAGAGTTGTGCATTTATCTCAGAGATAGAATACTTGCCTTGCCTGCTTGAGGTCCTAAGTTTGGTCTCTAGCACCAAGCCAAACAAAGAAAAAAATTTAAATAATGTGTGTGTGTAAGTGTGCTAGGGATGGAAACCAGGGCTCTCACTTAGCTGTATCCCAAGCCTTGAAATAAATATTCTCTTTGTGCGGTTATTACATTTTAAAATTTAAGAAAGAAACTTTGTAAATTTTAGGGTGAAAAGACTAATTTTAGGGTGAAATGGAGAATGATTTCATAACTCTTAATAAAAATGTGAAGCTTTTAAAGATTGAGTTAAGACATATATGGTAAATGGAAATAAAATGGGACATAGTTTAAAGATTAGAAATTTGACTGTAGGTAAAGAAAAAGAGGAAATGATAAGTCAAATAATGGTGTTCTGTTATTATTTGATCATGAAATTTTTGCTTCATAAAGTAAAAAATATTTTAAATCAAATTAGGTTGACAGAATACATGGTAATGCTGAGACTCTGAACTAAAAGGCAAGTGGATATCGTAATTAAAAACAGCAGAGTCAGAATTAAGAGCCAACAACAGAGAAAGTCAGGGAGCAGTACTTGGCCTGAGACTTGTGCAGAGCAGAGCAGGATTCTGATGTCACAGACCCTCCAAGTGAGTTTCCGAAGCCCCTGGCCACTCCCGCCCACTGCTGCTCACTCCTCCCAAGGCAGTTTAACCACCCTCCTCCTGAGCAGAGGAGTTCAGATGCTCACCTGTGACCCAGAAGCCAGCCAGCTCCTCCACAGCCCAGCAGGCAGACCCCACCCATCAGGGTTAGTGCTGCCCTCCTGCAAGTGCAACTGATGCTTGTTTTCCAGGAATTTCTTTCTTGCTAGACACTCTGGTGGCTCTCAAGGTCAGAACATGGCCACCTGCTGGGTACAGTGGTGAATGCCTGTAACCTCAGCAGCCTGGCAGGCTGAGGCAAGAGAGTCCCAAGATCAAGTCCAGCCCGGGCAGCTTAGTGATTTAAAAAAGGCTGGAGTTGGGGCATAGTAGGAAGACCCTGTGATCAATAGCTAGCTCAGCCAGTATCCCAGGGACACTGGGGTGGCCAGAGGCAGTGACAGAGCCAGGTAGGGAGTGACAGGAGAAACTGGGGTACGTGTAATAAGCAGCCATCGGAGAGGCTGGGTCAGCCTTATAGTCATAATGAGTACTTAACCTCCTAGACATTGTTTGCTATTGTAGTGTGTAAAAGATGTCAAAAGTTAAAACAACGCTGGTCCCAATGCCTGTTCTTATGATAAGAACACTGAATCTAAACGATTTTTGGACGCTGAGAGTGCCATCTGGCAGTAGATTTGCTGCTGGATCAGTTTTTGTTTATTAAAAATCATGAACATGTTTCATTTACCACGTCTTGGCAAGTACTCTTGGCACTGGCTGAGTGTACTCTTTAATAATTTGTAGATTGAGAGGATCCAGAATCCAGATCTCTGGTATTGCTACCAGGCAAAGAAAAAAGCCATGAATGCCAAGAATGGCCAGCGCATCAATGAGAAGCTTCTCTTCCACGGGACAGACGTCGGCTCGCTGCCTCACGTCAACAGGAATGGGTTTAACCGCAGTTATGCGGGCAGGAATGGTAAGAAAGCAGGAGATGCGGCTGCCCAAAAGGGGTGCCAGCCGTGAGGGCCAGCGGTGGCAAGGAACACTGCGGATGTTCTGTGTTCCCACAGTGGGTGGTCAGGTTGCAGCCCAGGTTTCAGGGTAGGACTCACTGAATTTCATCCCAGAATGGCCTGCCACACTCAGTGCTTAAATCTAACACCAATTGCCTTATTTGACATGTTGGGCTAAATTGAAATTCCTAAAAGTGTTTTGTTTTTCTCTTCACAGCTATGGCATTTGGAAAGGGAACCTATTTTGCTGTCAATGCCAATTATTCTGCCAGTGACACATACTCAAGCCCAGATCCACGTGGGAGAAAGCATATGTATTACGTGCGAGTACTCACTGGAAAGTACACACAGGGGAACAGCTCATTGATTGTGCCTCCTTCAAGGGACCCTCAAAATCCTACTGACCAGTATGACACAGTCACAGATAATGCGAAGAACCCAACTATATTTATGGTATTTTATGACTACCAAGCATACCCGGAGTACCTCATCACTTTCAGATGTTAACTTTTTGGTTTTCTTCCTGAGACATCATATGTAACTCCTGGGAAACAGGTTCGCCCCACCCCACTGCTAACCACTTTTTCCAAGACCAGAACATCCCTTTTCCTTTTCCTCCTCCACCCTTCTTTGCCATGGTGGGGATCAAACCAGGGCCCTGTGCATGCCAGCCGAGCACAGCACCACCGAGCTCTACCCTCAGCCTGAAAGGTCCTCCTTTGTCACTGAAATCAACTTCCCTCAGCCTTTTCTTGGAACCTATCTTGAGAACAAATAAATTTGAGAATATGAGATAACAAAAGTTTATAGCTGTGTAGCCACAAGCTTGTGGACATCAAATCTGTGGGACAAGAACAGGTTTATATTTTCAGGAGGGACAGACTAGCAGTCTTACTGGCAGAAAGGCACAGTCACGCAGTTCTAGCTGGTACTGGTGCCGGTGGGAATCATGTCAGGATGCCCTCGTGCTGCAGGGGCACGAAGGGTAGGGCTGCCACCTTCCCTGAACAAGGATGGGCCTGACTGATGTTTCTGTCCTGGGGTTGAAGTCTGCGCCTGTGATACAGATATTCCACGAATGTTTGCTAAGCCAGTTAAGAATGAAACAGCCTGATTAGATCGCTAACAGCAGAGTCATCTCCGACATCCCTGGCTTCTTTGCCTCCAGTTGAACGTATTCCTTGACGGGAACCTGTTTCTTCACACAGCAGACCATGCCATGGAGCTGGGCAGCTGCAGCCAGGCCTCTGGGACCACAGCGCACTTGCAGCCTACACAGGCCGGACACTGGGACTTAGCTCAGGGTCTGGGTGAACTGTGTCCGCTGGAGCTGTGTGGCAGCCAGGTTGTTTCTAACGTTAAACCCAAACCCATTGTTTTCCACTGCCCAGTGAAAACAATGGGGCAAGGGGTTTTCAGTGGAAACCTACTGTGCTTGCAATTAAGGAACACTAAGGCTGTTAAATAGCTTATTTCCTAAAAGTCAGATCAAGAGGAAAAAAAGAGAAAGGCCCGGGATATAGTTCAGCAGTACAGTGCCTGCCTGAAAAGCTTAAGGTCTGAGTTCAATTTCCAGTACCCAAAAAAGAGAAAAATACTTCTTGTAATCCAACACGGACAGTGTATCTAAAAATGTTACCCATCATTTCTAAAAAGAAAAAAAAAAAAGCGCGAATAATTTCCAAAAAATACCATAGCAGCCTAGCTTTTGATAAGCTTTTAAAACTCTGTGCATAAGTTTTTAAAACCAAATCTGCTAATCTGTTAATTGCTAATGCAGCAATTTTTTTTCATACTCTGGTAAATTTCAGGTTCAGACAACACATTGAGGACCTGGACTGTACCAGGTGACACAGTAGGTGCTTCACATACATGACTCGCACTAACAGCCCTGTGAGGTGAGAATTCTGTGCACATTTTCAGGCTGAGGAAACATGCTCAGAACTCAAGTTTCCTTGCCTAGCACCACTTAGGGGACAACCCTGCAGCTGACAGCAGGCTCCTGGCTGCACTGCAAGCATAAGCTCCTCACCAGAGAATACGGCCTCCAGAGAACGTCGCGGCTTTAGGACTGTCTCATGTACTCTGCAGGACACTTCCCTGTTCCTTTTCTCCTTCTGGCTTCGCTTTAAAAAAATTATATATATCTATATATCTATATCTATATCTATATCTATATCTATATCTATATATATAATTTAAAAGAATATAATAAAAATGGTAATTTCAAAACAAGATAACAGGAGATTAACAATGGATCATTTTTTTATGTCTCTGTCTTGTCATCTGAGCGACTACTGCGAAGATAACAATGCCGGCTTCGTTTTCGGTTGGTCTCATTTGAAATTCCATAAACCCAGAAGCCAGAGCTGGTTCTGATGCGAAGCCGGCGCGGAAGGCGCAGTCGGACGCTAGGGGGCGCCGGAGGACAGATGCGCTCGCCCTCCCTGCCCGCTGGGAAGGAGAGGAGCAGGCCCAGAGGATGGACGCCTGGTCCTGACACTGCTCCTGCTGCTGCTGCTGCTGTTGGTTTATAAGAGGCCTGCTCAGGTCTTGTTGGCTAGTGTGGCTTCCTAACCACTGGCCTCTGAGTTAGGCACGAACACTGAAGCTGTGGAATTAGAATAAAAAGAGAACGTTGCTCTGATTTGCTTTGGTTCTGCAGTGGTTTGGCTGACTCAGGGCAAGGCTGATAGGAAGATGTTCTGCACTGAGGAATACAGACCCAGTCAGTAAATAGTACAGTCCTCTTTGATCTAAAGAAACGTCAAGCAGGTCATTTTCCTCCTTTTTCAGGAAAAATTAACAATATCACTTTTAGTCAAAACTTATTTTTATCTTAAAGATCAAATACACAGGAAGCCTAACGATGAGCAGCGGCCACTGTTGATGAAAAGTACACGAGACAGCAACAAGCACTTAGAGAACCAGCACTCACTGGGAATCTTCAGGAAGGGGCACAGTATAGCTGGAGTTAGTACATCTGGAGGAAAAATGGACCCCAGCACGGAGCCTTTGCTGAACCAGCCCACTTGGAGCCTGGGCAGGCTTGGCAGGCAGGCCAGAGCTGTGGCAGCTGTGGTACCCAAGGCAGTGCAGGCTGCGAGGGGGGCACGTGCAGGTGAGACTCCGGCTGCCCAGGGTGGCCTTCCTGGGCCTTGAGGGCCTGGCTCACAGTAGATGTTAGCCTCTGCTGCCCCTTGCTGCCCATCTGTAACTCGTAAACCTGCTTTGTATAACTTGTGCCCTTGGGTGTTGTCTCAGGGGACTCGAGACAAGTTGGTAACCAGTACAGAGCAGATCTGCTTCAAGGTGAGCTAGTGACAAGTGTCCCGGAAGAGCCCTTTTTGGTTCTTCCTTTCCCTGGGCAAGCTCACATAACAGCATGCCCTCCTCCTAGAAGTCACACCTTTTCTTTGGACTTACTGACACCTAAGGGAGGGGCAGGTAGTCAATTCATTTCAAAAGGAGACTTCCTGTCTTCCATTGTGTTTGTCAAGCATGGTAACTCAGAGGTCAGTATGCTTTTTGAATTTCTAAATTCTTGGACAGTCATGGTAATTGTCCCCAGGTTTGGAAAATGCAATCAGAGTGGGACTGATTTTGCTAAATTAAGCTATCTGTCTTTGTCTGAGGATCAGGAGCCCCTGGTCCTTTCTAGTCCCAGGACTGCTCTCCGACATGCCCAGCTCTTCCCACAGGAAGTGCTCACATGAGAAGCCCACCTGCTGATCCGTGTCTTGTTGTAGATGACAGGAGTTCACCAGTGAGAATTCTGCTGGTGTTAGACATGGATCACCTTAGATCCAGGCTGGACTCCGTCCACTCATCTTTCAGACCAGCTGTCAACCAACTCTTTCTGTTAAGGGAGAGTGAATTTCTTTCTTGGCTTTCTGAGCCACGCAGTCTCTTGATCTAGATTCAACTTTGTCAGTATGATCCTAAAGCTGTCACAGGCACTATGAGGTGAACTCTGGGTGTGTTCCCAGGAAACCTGATTTACAAGACCAAGCAGCAGCAGGTCCAGCCCTGTTCAGAGCTGATGGAGAGAGTGCTTGCTTGGGGACACCTGGGGCTTACAGGTGTCACAGTCTGTAAGCCGGACGGCAGCAGGACGAAGGCTGAGGGGGAAAGCAGTGTTCACAGAAGGAGATGGCAACAGACTTGGAACTTCATCAGGTACAAGATAAACATGCAAACTGACCTTTGGCTGTTATACCTTTTATTTTAAATCATACTATAGTTTACAAATACATTTTTAAGATGTTATTAAAAATTCGCCTTCTATGAGAATCATAAGCTTTTCCCTTGTATCAAAAGCTGTGCCACCATCCTGATCACTTGTGGATTCACTAAACAGTCCAGCAAATCATCGGTAGAAATGAGCGCTTGAGACAGGCCGGGAGCACTACCCGCAGCAGCCTGTCCCCCTGTCGCGTTTCCGTCCTCACTCATCATTTGTGGCCTCTGGGGACAGCAGGATTTGGCAAAGTGTTTCTCATCTTTGTCAGCCAGCTCTTTACTGTCATTTTCAAATACGCCACCTCTGTGTGCAGGGGGCTCTTCAGGAGCTGGCAGTACAGGGCAGAGGTCGGGGCCAAAGCCGCTCGCCGCAGCCCGCTTTCCGGCTCCCGGGCCTTGGCTGCGGCTGCGTGTCTGGTCCACCTCGGGGTGGCTGCACACGTGTGATCCTTCCTTCTCCACGCTTCCCCCATTTGCTTCCAGCACGTCGTCTTCTCCTGCCTTTGGGGTTCTGGAATGACTGAAAAAGGCAGAAATGGCTCCATTTAAGTAGCTACAGTTGACTGCATGAGAGGTTGCTTCAACCTAAGGGAAAAGACACGCTCGTTGGAATGGCCGTCCCCACCAAGTTAAGCTGAAACAAGGGCTCTGGTTGGGGAAGCTTTACCACAGGAAGCCACTGCCATGATAAATACCTCAGTGGGGTTTAACCAAGCCCGGGTATCGTGGGGGTCCTCGGATGTTTTCAGAGCACACACAAGCGTACGAGTGATTGCCTCTTCCACGCGGGCTAGGTGGTCCTCCTCCTATATTGAGATTTAAAAGAACACACACTTTTAGCCTTTGTCTTCGGGTTTCATGCGTCAAAACAGAGAACTCTGTGTCTTCTGATTGTGTGTCCCACTCAATAATATATGCTTTGTTATAAGGGGAATGAGTAAGCTATTGGCAGGATGGTAATTATTTTTTCTTTTTTTTTTTTTTTTTTTGGTATTGGAGATCAAACTCATGACCTTGTGCTTGCCCAGCAGGCACTTGTGCTGCTGAGCTAAATCCTTGGCCCTTACAATGATAGTTTCTATGTATTCACTGTTATCTGTCATCTAGAAGAGACACAATATTTCATCAACCATATTAAATATGTATTTTATCTATAGAACACTGCCCTCAAGTATGAACCACTTTGTGATTTGTTTTGATAGGTTTTAAGTTTCAACAAGCACCACATACAGAAAAGCAATCCTTACAGAGTTTGGAAGGCAACTTATTTGAAGGGGAAAAATTATAGCAAACATGCTTGACTACAAGAATGAAGATAAGCTTTCTTAACATAAGCACAAACTGTAGCTCTAATGATAAACGACATTAAAATCAACAACTATTAGATAACACAATGAGAAACAAACTAAAACGCTGTAACAAACATGATTGATCAAAGATTAACATCGAAAATAAAGAATCTGAACCTGACAATAAGACAAATACGAGTAAAGGTCTGCATGGCAGAGATCTTCAAATACTTACAAAGAACAAAACATGCAGTTTTACAAACAACAGATG